CATCAGGGGCAAGGCACTGCGGCGGGCCGTGTTGTTTCACTTAATACTATTTGAACTGTACACTACGCATATCATGCAGTTTTTGGTTCATTGTTTTGTGATTCCCCCTCCAGCTTTACTGAGGTATAGTTGACAAATAATTTTAAAATGTAAATCCATTTTTTTAAAAAAGAGTGAGAGGAACCAGCGTCCAGAAGCCGGGAGAGCACGAGCTATTGCAGTGTTGAGAGGGGCAGCTGCATTAATACTACTTTGATGATTTCAATCAGTTGCCAAGTAAGGATGTATCTGGAGTCCAGACAAGAAAAGATCTCACTCCATTGCTCAGAAGAGCAGTGGAAGGCAAGAACTTGATGGGATTGGGACGTGAGAAATAGTCAGACTGCAATAATAACACCTAGTCGTCATCCGGTGTTCACTACAAACCAGAAACTGTCCTAACAATATTCTTATTTAATCTGACGTTTTTCTGAACTTACAGATGAGGAACTGAGGCTCAGTGAGGTATTGGGACTTCCCTGATGTCACACACTCTGGCCCCTCTGACTGAGGCTAAAGAACCAGATGATGATGTAACTACTTTTCTGAACATCAGTAAAATTCAACTTAGTTTCTGTCTTCAGTGCTCTCTCAAGGGGCCTGTGAAAAACACTGACACTGTGGCACTTGTCTTAGCCCCACATTTGCTGGGTTGCCCTGGGCCCCCACTGTGTTAGGGAAGGCCCAGCAAACATCATGGAGTAGAGCTGGGATTCAGATTTAAGCATTTCTGGATCCAGAGCTCACTTGCTGGGCCACTGAACGACTTCACTTCTCATTACCTCTCCAGCCAGAATCAGAAAGAGCTGAATGGAAATCCTTCTACCATTCATTAGCTGTGTGGACTTGGGCCCCCAAGTCACTGAACCTCTCTTATTTCTGTCCTGTGGGGTAGTAAGGGGACTACCTTCCAGCTGGTTGGTAAGGACAAGACACGATTCCAACCTGGCAAATGGTAGGAAGCTTCTGTCTTCCACAAATGCCAGACCCTTACCCTCATCTCCTAGGTTAGGGCAGAGTGTCGCATTTTATTATGCTTCAGATCCACTGGTGTAGGGGACAGGGGGCTGGTCACACTCAAGGTTTTAAACCCCATCTCAAAGTGACTCTTCAGGGTAGGGGTGGGGTTTAGGAAACTGCTTCTCCGACCTGTCCCCAGGGACTCTGGATGCCTTCGGTTTTCTATCTGGCTTCAGATCACTTTGGATAGTGCTTGAAATTGAAGCTTTCAGACCAGTGGGATGTGAACCGCCTTTGCCAATGTTTTTGAGCCTTTCCTGCCCTGGCCTCCAACTGTGTCTGTGCATCCTCCCTTTCCCTCCGGCCTAATCTGTCTTTATCTCCCTGTTGGTGTCGTGGTATCATGTACACATACACACCGTATGTGGAGAGAGCTGATGGCTACTCTTACTGATTTTTGTAAAAGGGTTTATTTAGGACATGCATGATGCCTCATGTACCATCTAAGTTATAACAGTGTTAATAATTTTAAGCTATTTAGGTTCCCAGGCTCCAGGTTCCCAGGCTCCTGCAGTAAGCACAGGACTTAATGATCAAGGACAGGTTGTTTTAAAGTTCGTCACAAAACTTCAATAAGTAGGCCATCTCTTATCCAGCCAGCTACCTGACATTTCTCACAGCTTGTTTATCAGTTCAGCCCATGGCTTATTCTCTAGAGCCTTCAGATGGGGGCCTACACTCCCCATTCATTCTGACCCCCTGCCCTTGCTCTTCCCTTCTCTGACTTCCTAGCTTCCCCTCCACCTCTAGGTGCATCCTCCCTGGAGCTCAGCCTGCATTCCTACCCACCAGCCAGTTCTCTGCCGTCCCTTCCTCTGCAGTGCCATTTCTTCCATTGACTGGGAAGCTCATCAAATCACCAAACTTTTTTTTGATTTGATGACCAAAAGTGATCAAATCAAAAGTCACCACAAACTGGAAAAAATGGTCAGAATCAACATTCTCAGAACGCTGGAAATTTACCCAATGGGCTTGTGGCAAACTGGGGAGCAATTTATTTAAGAAAAACATATTAATTTCTGTCAGGACAGTGAGATCTGCGCTGCTTTAACTTGTCCTAGACCTTTGCTCTCCATAAAAGTTTCTTGGGGACAAAGTCTTTGTCCTATTCTTTGTAACCCCAGCACTTAGTGCAGGGCAAACACACAGTGTGCATGGCACTCAGTGAGTGTTTTCCAATAAATTCATTTTTGTCAGCTGTGATTCCACAATCCGCCCCCCGCCACGGCTACTTCCCCGGGTCGCTTACATGACCATAATGAAACTCAGATTCTTGTAAGAGACTCTTGGTGTTATAAAATGTTCAGAAAAGGTCACGAGTTTAAGACATGGTACCAATGCTACTAAAACCTCTTGGTGGAGGGACCTAATGAGCCCACTCTCTGGTGCGCTGGCAGGAGAAAAACTGACCCTCCGTTCTCTTTCCACAAGTTAGGCACCAGCAAACTAATGGGGGGAAGAGAGATGCCACTGGTGGGCACCTGCAGAACTGTTAGTCCAGCTCCAGATGCACCCTTTACACTCATTAACCCAAAGTGAACTGTGTGAAACTGGATTTCTGAAGCACAAGACAAATAGGAGTCTTTCCCAAAGCCTGATTTAGAGGAGGCTCTTCACCTTGAGTCTAAAATCCCCTTCAGGCCACTGAACCTACCAGCTGTGATCTGCTTGTGAAATGGAGAAATTACAGAATCTTCAAGGTTCTAAAAAACCCACACTTCTTACTAGTAGAAGTCAGGAAAGAAAGTATAGTGAATTAGGCAGTAGCAATGTATGTTCTTTGTATTTTTCACACTACAGCTTAACACAAACATCCACACCTCAAAGGTCCTACTGGCCACAGACAATTCACTTCAGACATACAGACTTCTTGAAAAATAATGTTTTGGGTGGTTGGGGAGAGAGGTGCCCAGTGGTGGGTGTACAGGAATTCTTTCTGCTTCACCATTTAAAAGAAGCTAATAGCTGAGGAAGCACCCATACCTTTTGCTCCCTGAAGAATTTTGGGCTAAACTTAGTTCTTTGCAGCTCTGTGCTTCATACATTTTAAGTAGTTAGGAATTTTGCACATGAGCAGGGATTAAATTCAAAAGTGGAATTTCTAGCACCATTCGCATATTGGAGCAACAACAATGGGATTCCATGACAATGCTAATTAACAGTATCAATAATATACAAATGATTGTCCTGAAATATCATTATTTCCAAATAGGGTAACATTTTGAAGAGGTGAATTGAATGTATCTTGGAAGAGTGTGCAAATTGTTTCATTATCTACTATTTTTTACTGCTAGTAAAAATATAAAATTGTTCTCTTCTATAGATAGTTCAGAGTGCCAAGAATTTGACCAGAGCTGATGGAAAAGTGACATTATTCACCTTTTAATGCTTCTGGGTCTCTAAAACACCAAGGGTGAGAACTACCCCAATTGTCTTTTTAACCAAAGAGGATATGATTACAAATGCATATGTATCTGTGTGAATGAATGACCAAATCATGGAGGGAATGAAGGTATTTCATGTAGGGAATTTTCAAGGTTGGCCAGTAAAAACATTACATAAACTTGAAGATTTGAGATCTGTTCTGTTCACTGTTGTACCTTCAGTGCTTAGACAGGGCTGACAGAGAGTGACTACTTAATAAATTTCTATCAAATGAATAAATCCTGCAATATTATGTTTAACCAATGAATGCAACAATTTTGATGATTGCCTAATTTTGCTGTTATGGGTAAACTCAAGAAGGCCAAATAGTATGCAGTATTTCAAATATTTTCTATAGTGAAATATTAAGTACCAAAGAAGATAGAATCAAAGAAAAGCTAAGGCTGTAGACTTTTGGGAGAACTACATGCCACTTAACTGCTCTCACGTTACTCCTCTGAATCTGAAGTCAAGGAAAGTTGACCTCCCCTACTCAATTCCTTACAACATTCCTAAGGATCTATGTGTATATTGATAACTTTCAATGCAAATAAAAATCATTGCACCAGTATGTCAAGCCATTGTTGCACCCATCCCCCTTCTGTCAAACAAGCTGTCCTAGGGTAATTTTCACATTGTAATTTAAATTACTTCATGTACCAATGACCTGAGATTGACTCTCTGGAAAAGCCTGTCTAGTTGGCATGTCAATTTTAACACAGCTGGGGCCCATTCAGGGAACAAAAATCCCATCTGGTATTTCTGAACCAAGAAGATTTAAAACAGGGAAATAGATACATAGGTACATACTGAAAAAGACTAAAGGAGAAAAAAAGATGGATGCCAAGGTACCCCATTGATTATTAACTGCACGAAGAAGTAACTTCCCATAGGACGAGGGGAATAGAAGGGGAAGGCAATGTTACCGGGACCTAGGAGCTCACAAGGTGGTATGACCACATATCTGATGCTCAGATCTCTGGGGGAAGCACTGAACATCGCTGCCTCTTGGTCCTCAGCTGAGGTGACCCAGAATTTCATTCCTGAAGGGTCTGAGTCTTCAAAAGTACTGCCCTTTGTTTTTGGTTGCTGGGGTTGCTATTAAATCTCTGCTATTGGACTTAAAAATACAAAAGGCATCCCAGACAGAGTTCCAGACATGGCCCTCCTTGCCCCCCATTGTGGAGCAGTGACACAAAGTCCTTGGTATTTGGGTTAGTCACTCCAGCCAGTAGAGAAATCCCTTTTTTGTCTGAATGGCCCACAGAGATATACTACAATTTGGCTGGATCTTAGCAACTTAGTAGTAATATTTAAAAATGTAAATCCCCAAAGATTATTATTGATACCCTTTTGTAAGATTATTAACAGTTAAAGAAACCATAAAATAAGCCAAAAAAATTTCTGGGAATAGGTACATATGCAATAAAAATGTATTAAAAAACAAAAGCCAGGGGTGGGGGTAGGGCTCAGTGGTAGAGCATGTGCGTGAAGTCCTGGGTTCAATCCCCAGTACCTGTATTTTAATAATAGAAAAGAGCATTAAAAACAAAAGGAAAGCAAAAATGAGCCGAAGACTCAAGATCGGAGAAAATTCAAGAGGGGAGAGTCAGAAAAATGCAAGTGGGTGTACCCTGGAGTAAGATGTAAGTTATTACTGAAGTCCTAACTTTCAGGTTGCCTGGTGGGCCTAGGAGTATTTCTAATATTAGAGAGAGAATAAAAGCTCTGCATGAAGCAAAGTGAGAGTTCCTTTTTTTTTTAAGTATTGTTTTGGGGGAGGTAATCAAGTTTGTTTATTTTAATGGAGGTACTGGGGATTGAACCCAGGACCTCATGCAGCCTAGGTATGTGCTCTACCACTGAGCTTTACCCAACCCCCGAGTTTGTCTTGAATTAAGAGTGCATTAAGAGAAGTAAGAGAACAGGGAGGAGTGGTGAGTCCAAAAGTTTAATTAGGCAGCTCCTAAAGCAATCTAGAGGAGAGACAGTTAAGATACATATGAAGGAGCTAAATGTAAAGGTAATGTGGAAACAGAAATAGAATGTGGTAATTTTTATGAAAGTAGTAAGGAGATGTCTTAAGTTTGAGCCACTAAAAGAAAATGATGCCTTTAATGAAATTAATTAACAAGGGAGTAATTTAAGAAAAATTAGTCCATTTTGGGTGTGTTTTCAAGGGTTCCTGTGGGACATTTTTGTGTTTGTTTTTGTTTTATGTTTTTATTGAAGTATGGTCAGTTCACAATATTGTGTCAATTTCTAGTGTACAGCACAATGCTTCAGTCATATAGGTACATACATATATTTGTTTTCATATTCCTTTTCACCATAAGTTACTACAAGATATTGAATATAGTTCCGTGTGCTATACATTATAAACTTGATGTTTATTATATATATATTAGAATTTACAAATCTAGAACTTTGGGACTTTTTGGGAAAAAAAAGAAATAATAGACAACACAAGGAAGAAAATGGTAAGTTCTACCAAGGAAATTCAAACCAAGCCATGTAGCTTTAGAGAAAGATGTTTCGTTAAATATTAAATATACATATTTGTATGCTCATGTGTATTTACTCTATTATGTATTTTACTATATTCTATTACTATATTATTAGTATATTATTCTTTCTTAATTTTCAAAATAGCCAGTGACATAGATGGAAATAGCCCTCCTTTACAGGAAGAAAAGCCGTATCTCAGAAGGGTGAAGTGACTTATTAAATGTCTTTTAATTAGTTAGATGCTGGTCTAGGATTTGACTCAGTTTCCTCATGCCTAATGCTCTTAACTCGACTCCACAGCTGACCCCAGGGGAGATATAAAATACTCCTCCTGGAGGGATATCTAAGTCAGTCAGGATGTGTGCACTCGTGGGAGGCATGGCTGGAACTTTGAGAAGCAGAACAACTCTGTCCTCAGTACAGCATGAGCTGTAGGGCGGAGAGGGGAACACGGGCTCATAGAGAAGTTACCAAACTTTGAGGCAAAAGAGAGAAATGATCCTTCACCGTTTCCAACCTCACCACTTTCAGTCAGTCAGTCCAAATTTATGCAGTGCAGACTGAAGTAGATGCCAAAGAACTCTGCAAGTAGCACATGATAGAAATGTAAATCACAGCTGTCATACTCCATTCCTGCTTCTGGTTCTCCAAGAAGTCATGGGAAAGTTTTAAAGGATGTGCCATTGGGCTATTAACCTGAGACAAACAGACCACCAGATGTTTCTCCAACAAAAACGGGTTTATCTGGGATTGGCAGAGAATTGCAATCTGGGGCCTGCAACCATGGTGAGCCATGTCCAAGTCCCCACATGACAAGGGATGGAGAACACTTTTATAGAGAGGAAAAGGAAGTCGGGAGGGCTATAGTGAGCAAAGAGTCCATGGCTTTTCATTGGCTGAACTCTTGGCTGGAAAGAAGAGAAGTCTGTCTTTTTCCTGGTTAGGCTCCGCTATCATGGCAGGGGAAGACAGCGCCCCCTTCTGTTCTCTTGACTCTATTTAGTTGAGGTTTCCCTTTATTAATTTTTTTCATGCTTTAAAAATATTAGTTTCCCTTATTGGTATTATTGTTATCCAGATTTTATACACGAGGAACCGTAGACCTAGGAAAGTTAAACAGCTGCGCATGGTCACACAGTTAGTAGTGATGCTACGATTCAAACCCAGGTGGTCTGGCTCCAGAATCTATGCTCTCAACCACAATGGTCCGCTGCCTATCGAGCAGGGACTGAAAGGGACCAGTTCCTGGATCCTTTACCAACTTCTGGCTATTCATTTCCCATCACCTACAGATGCAAATGAAAGCATCTGACCAGCATCTCAAACAGACACAAACAATGAGGAAAATCTGGGTGACAGAAGGGGCAACAGGTTCTCTGAGACATACATATCCATCTCGCCTCCAATGGTTCCTGTTCAAAAGCAACAATCACAGAAGTATGTGATGGTTGTGATTTTTTAATATTTAGAATCTTCCCAATATCAAAGGGATTATATTTATCCTGAGTAGCTCCAGAGGGCAGGTTGATGACTAATTCCACTTCAGCAGTTTTTTGCAGTCTGTTAGGTCCTACGCTGTGCTATGGGGTTTACCTCCAGGATGCCACCCAATAATGGAAGCTAAAACCGTAAAGACCAGCGTATTTTTATTCCAAACAATTATAATTTTCAGTTCTGTAAATTCTATTTTTTTATTTTTTATTTTTAATTTTTCTGCTGAGATTCTATATAACTTTACTCATTGGTTGCAAGTTTTCCTGTATTTCATGGAACAGAGTTATAACAACTCTTTAAAATCCTTCTCTGGTGAGGCAGGATCAATATGGCAGAGGAGGAAGACCCTGAGCTCACCTCCCCCATCAATCAATCAAAACTACAAATACATATAAAGCAGGTCTCAGTGATAATGATCCAAAAATGAGCAGAATGACTCTTCTACCACCAAGGCTGTAAGGAAAGAACCACATGGAGTCTGACAGGAGGGGAAGAGAAGCAATCTATTAAGAACCCACACCCCTGGTGGGTGAGCCAGAGAGGAGCGGCTCAGGGATCCTCTCTGGGGATCATTGGGTTCAAGCCACATATTAGGCAAACCAAGCCTTAAGGTCCATCAGGAAGATAAGCCCCTTTATCTGGTTTGAAAACCAAGAAGGGCTTACCAGAGGGCTGGAATAAACTGAGACTGCTCTTGAAGGACTTACGCACACACCTGCTGGATCCCAGACCCAGCATGGAGGTAGCAGATAGAAGACTGCCTTGTGCTCTGGCCAGCCTGCCAGGACCACCCCAGCAGGTCCCTCAGCACACACCGGGCTCTGGCTCCAGCACCTCCTGCTCCACCACTGCCCCCCACTGACAAGAAGGCCATCATTGCCAATGCACATGTGCTCACCAGGGAAGGAGCACAGCCAGGTCAGGCCCCAGCCCTGCCTCTAGCCAGAGCAGAGCCCACAATTGCCAGTGTATGTGCCTATGATGGAGGGAGCAGAGCTGGCTTGGCCAGGCCCTGCCACTAGCCAGGGTGGAGATCACCGTTCCCAGCATGCACATGCGTGTGCACACTGGGGAAGAAGCAGAGCTAGCTCAGGCCCAGCCATGCCTCTAGCCGAGGAGGAGACCACCATTACCATGATGCACATGCATGCATACACCAGGGAACGAGACATCTCAGTAATGCAGCTCCAACATCTCAGCCCTGATCGCACCATAACCAAGGCATCCACGTGGCAGGGACAGGTAGAACCAGCACAGCAGTATAGCCCCAAGGCCTCTGGCCCGGGCCACACCCCCACCAAGTCAGAGACTGCCATCACTCTGGGGAGAAGCCCAACTCCCACAGGGCTCCTGCTCCAGCCCCGTGGGCTCTGGGCCCATCCCTGATAGGACTACAAGCTAGGAGAAGCCACAGCTCACATCTGGCTCTGCTCTCCCCTCCAACTCCAGCCTTACCCCTCATCAAGGCAGCGGCTGCCAGCACACCCCAGGAGAAGCTATGGCCCCTGCTTACTTCAGATCCAGTTCTCACACCAAAGCCTCTGGGCACAAGCAGGCTGCACAGGGATGTTCCCACACAAGGACAAGCCTTCAGGACCAGGATAGGCAGCTGTTTCACCCAATTTCATAAATACAAAATACAGAGAAAGTTAAACAAAATGAGAAAACAGAAGAATATGTTTCAAATGAAAGAACAAGATAAAACCCAGAAAAAAAAAACCCACCTAATTTGAAGCAGAAATAATTTACCTGATAAATAGTTCAAAGCAATTGTAATAAAAATGCTAACTGAAAGGAAGAAAAGGATAGGTGAACACAGTGAGAATTTCAACAGAGAACTACAAAATATTAAAAAAAGAATCAGACAGAGCTGAAGAATACAGTAACAAAAACAAAAAATACACTAAATGAATTAACAGATTAGGTGACACAGACGGATGCATAAGTGATCCGAAAGACAGAAAAATGTAAATCACCCACTCAGAGCTGCAAAAAGAAAAACAAATGTTAAAAAATAAGGATAGTCTAAGGGACCTCTGGGACATCAGGCATGCTAACACTGACATTATAAGGGTCCCAGAGGAGAAGAGAGAAAGAAAGGGGTCCAAAATGTATCTGATGAAATCATGGCCGACAATTTCTATAACCCAAAGGAGGAAACAGATATCCAGGTACAGGAAGCACAGAGAGTCCCAAATAAGATGAACTCAAAGAGACCCACACCAAAACATACCATAATTAAAATGGTAAAAGTTAAAAATTAAAAGAGAATTTTCAGGGCAGCAAGAGATAAACAAAGAGTCACATCCATAAGGCTATCAGCTGACTTTTCAGCAGAAACTTTGCAAGCCAGAAAGCAGTGGCATAATGTATTTAGAATGCTAAAAACAAACAAACAAACACCTTCAACTTAGGATACACTATCAAGAGAGTTTATCATTCAGAATTGAGGGAGGGATAGTTTCCCAGACCTCAAAAACTAAGAGTTCATCACCACTAAACTGACCTTATAAGAAACGTTAAAGGGTCTTCTTTAAGTGAAAAAGAGAAGGCTATAACAAGAAGTAAGAAAATATAGAAAAAGAAACATCTGAATGGTAAAGGCAAATATATAAGAAAAGCAGTGGATTAATCATTTAAATAAGCTAGTATGATGGTTAAAAGACCAAAACTGTAAAATCAACTATAACTACAATAACAGGTAAGGGGTGGGCATGAAGATTCTGTTTGCCATCACACTGACATGTTATATATGACATCAAAGACACAACATGTGGTTGGGGGGTGAACATGTAGACCTTTTAGAATGTGCCTGAACTTAAATCATTATCCATTTAAAGCAAGTAGATATAGTCATAGGTAGACATATAAGAACTCCATGGTAAACACAAATCAAAAACCTACAATAGATACACAAAAATTAGACAGAAAGAAACCCAAACGTAACACTAAAGAAATAAACCATAAGTAATGAAACTAAAAGAAAAAGAAATTAACAGGGAAGAAACACAAAAACAACCAGAAAGCAACAACATGGCAATAAGCACATACCTATCAATAATCACTTTAAATGTCAGTGGACAAAATGCTCCAATCAGAAGACACAGGGTATCTTCTAGACTATTAAAACTAATAAATGAATTCAGTAATAGTGCAGAATACAACATTAATATATAGTAATCTTTTGCTTTTCTATACACTCATAATGAACTATCCAAAAAAGAAATCAAGAAAACAATTCTATTTACAATCACATCAAAAAGAATAAAATACCTAAGAATAAATTTAACCAATGAGATGAAATTTAACCTCTACTCTGAAAACTCTAAGACATCAATGAAGGAAATGGAAATTGAGGATGGTATAAATACATGAGAAGATATCCCATGTTCACAAATTAGAAGAATTAATATTGTTAAATTGTCCACACTACCCAAAACAATCTACAGATTTAATCCAATCCCTAACAAAATATCCATGACATTTTTCATAGAACTAGAGCAAAGAATCCTAACATTTGAATGGAACCACAAAAGACCCCAAACAGGCAAAGCAGTCATGAGAATAAAGAACAGAGATGGAGGTATCACAGTCCCTGACTTCAGACTACGCCACAAAGCTACAGAAAGCTACAGGGTGCAGCTCACTGGCAGAGCGCATACTTAGCATGCACGAGGTCCCGGGTTCCATTCATCTCCATTAAAAACAAAAAACAAAACAAAACAAAACAAAAAACAGTATAATACTGGCACAAAAAAGGACACCTAGATCAATGGAACAGAACAGAGAGCCCAGAAATAAACCCATGCACAAATATGGCAAATCTGACAAAGGAGGCAGGAATACACAATGGGGGAAAGACAATCTCTTCAATATGCGGTGCTGGGAAACCCGGACAGCTTCATGGAAAAGAATGACATTAGAACATTTTCTTACATCATCTTCAAAAATAAATCCAAACTGGATTAAAGTCCTAAATGTAAGACCTGAAACCATAAAACTCCCAGAAGAAAACACAGACAGTACACTATTTGACAGCAATTCTTTTTTGGCTATGTCTCAAGTAAGGACAACAAAAGCAAAAATAGACAAATGGCACCTAATGAAACTTAAGTTTTTTCACAGTGAAGGAAACCATCAACAAAATGAAAAGGCAACCTACTGAACGGGAGGATATATTTGCAAATGGTACGTCTGATAAGGGGTTAATATCTAAAATACATAAATAATGCACACAATTCATTACGAAAAGTTCCAGAAAAAAATAATCACAAGGCTAAATGAAGCAACCAAAGCTATTTAGCTGCTTTGCTGGTGAATGGAAAGCTAGGATCCTTCTGGGGCCACAGAAGTGTCATGGACAGATCCCTAATGCTTTAGCTTCTCTTGGGCCAGTTCACATCAGGGACACAGCAGTAGATTCTCAATCCTTTGGGGGTTTGAGATTAGTCCAACCAACTGGTCCAACAACAACACATTAATTAAAAGGGTGCTGATTAAATTGCAAGGACACATTCCTCATGGGTTCTATAAAAAAGTAAAGGAGCAAACATTAGCAACAAATTCTGAGATAAAAAGAAAAGGGACGCTATGTGGTTGTGGTTATTAGGCTCTACGTGCTGTTCTGTGAATGCAGCTTCCTGGGATGACATATACTGGCATGATCATAATCTTGACCTGGAGTTCTTGTCCCTTTTTCTCAGAATGGACAAAAATTAGAAGTTCCTTGATACCGTGAGACAAAAGGAAAAATATGAGGCAGATACAGCGATGGCAAGAATCATCGTTCAACACGTCCAGTGCATGAAGCACATTTCCTTTTGGTGCCTAAAAGAGGAGTTTCTGGTATCTTCTTTCCGAACGTCCACAGTGGGAGAGATGTATGGGAAGCAGACAGAAGGCTGCCAGTAACACCCTCACTGACCGGCAAGCACAGCCAGGTAAGGACTAGAAGAAGACGATAATGTTGCTTCTTTCTTCTCTCCTTTCTCCTCTGCCTATCCCACCCTACGATAAGCTCAGTTGGGAGCTTCTCTCTCACAAATGGTCCTGAAACAATGATGATACTGTGCTGTTTTACTGGCCAAAAGGGCCAGAGACCTGAGTCCTTACTTAAAATCTTACAGACAATAAGAGTCATTGATCAAAATACACCAAAAATTATAAGACACAAGAAGAACAGAGCATAGGAATCAATGATGACGTCTCTCCAAATAATTCCATGACGGTCCCTTTTACTCAACCTCCAGCCTCTGTAGGAGACACTCATGCACTCACACACCCACACACATGCACAAACACACAAACATGCACACTTTTGCCCATATACTGCATTAAGGCATTAAGAGGACATGGCTCCAACCAAACAAGTTTCTCAGCTGTTCATGGAATCTCCATCGAAAAGCTGCTGCATCATACTGCACTGTATTTCATTTTATACATTTTTTGGTTTGGTTTGGGGGAGAGTTTCCTTAATTAATTTATTTACTCGCCGTAAGTGGTACATTCATATGGTTCAAACTCCAAATACGCTAAAATGTACACATGCACTCAATTCCCATACCTCCAACAAGTAATCACTGTTATTGGTCTCCTGTTTATCCTTCTAAGGATTTTTAACAAACATACTAGACAACAAAATATATTATTTTCGGAGGGCTGGACTCCGGGCTCACTGCCCTCGCACCCACAGCGTCCTGCACCCCCACACCCCACACCGCAGCTGGATGACCTCGACGTGCCGGATGAGCTCGTGGCCTTCCAGAATGAGGGCGAGGAGCAGGACCACAAGAGCCGGGATAGCGCCACAGGCCCCAGAGCGCGACCTGGCCGAGCTCAAGTCGTCCCTTGTCCACGAGTCTGAGGGCGCGGCCAGCGATGCGGGGAAGGGGGGGTGTGTCCCAGGGGAGGGCGCTGGGCCCGTGAGGCCGAGGTCTGGAAGCTGGGGCCCCAAGGCTCTCGGGAAGGAACACACTTCGCAAAGACTGTTCCCCGACAGACTTACAGGGTCTCCGGAAGGCCCCGGTGTGCCCCAGCAGCATGTACAAAGATGCCGTCTACTCCACCTTCAATCTGATCATGCACTACCCACCAGCCTTGGGATCAGGGCAACACCCGCAGCCACAGCCACCGCTGCACAACAAGGGCAGTCAGCCTTCCCACGGCATTCCCCAACTTTCTGCTCTCTATGAACACTTCAGCAGCCCACACTGCACACCTGCACCAGCTGACATCAGCCAGAAGCAAGGAGCTCACAGGCCTCGGCAGACCCCTGACCTCTCTGGCTTCTACTCTCTGACCTCAGGCAGCATGGGCAGCTCCCCCACACAGTGAGCTGGTTCACCCACCCATCCCTGATGTTAGGCTCCAGTGTACCTGGTCACCCCACAGCCATCCCCCACCCAGCCATTGCGCCCCCTTCAGGGAAGCAGGAGCTGCAGCCCTATGACCGCAGCCTGAAGCATGGGCAGAATCCAAGGCATAGAAGGAGGCCAAGAAGCCAACCATCAAGAAACCACTCAATGCCTTCATGCTGTACATGAAGGAGACGAGAGCCAAGGTCACTGCAGAATGCACGCTCAAGGAGAGCGCTGCCATCAGCCAGATCCTGGGCCGCAGGTGGCACGCGCTGTCGCGAGAAGAGCGGGCCAGGTATTATGAGCTGCCCGCAAGGAGAGGCAGCCGCACATGCAGCTAAACCTAGGCTGGTTGGGGCGGGACAACTATGGGAAGAAGAAGAGGCAGTCAAGGGAGAAGCACCAAGAATCCAACAGAGACCTTGGCTCGCCTAAACATGCCGTGCTCACTTTGGCCTCAGCCAGCAGACGGATTGGTGTGGTCCATGCAGATAACTCTCTTCACTACTCCTAGGAGGAAAAAGAAATGCACTCGGTACCTACCCGGAGAAGGCCGCTGCCCCAGCCCTGTTCCTCCCGATGACAGTGCTCTTGGCTGCCCCGGGTCCCCAGCCCCCCAGGACTCGCCCTCACACCTCCTGCTGTCCCACTTTCCCACAGAACTGCCTGCTGGCCCTGCCAAGCCAGCGCCTGCATTACCAGGTCTCTCGGCCGCTCTCAGCCTCCCAGCTCCCTGGGCCCTCCTCCGGCCCCTCACAGCGGCCTGCAGAGCACACAGGGATAGCAACAGGAGCCTCAGAGACAGGCAGCCTAGCATGCACAGGACACACAGCTTCCCCCGGGGTCTGCCCTCTGAGAGGGGACAGCAGAGCCCCAAAGCCTGTGGAAACCAGCCAGGGCCCCTATTAGTTCCCACTCAGGGTCCAGGCCCTGGAGATTTCAGAGGCTGCACAACTTCTGCCTGAAACTGGGTCCATCAATTCAAACTGCTCCAGATGGTGGGAATCAGATCTGCGTTGTGCCATCTGATTAAGGGCATCCTTAATGCCTATGGCAGCCTGCTTCTGTTCTTCTCTCACATCTGTCCGGCTAGCCAGATGCCCCTGCCTCCCTTGCTTTTCTGCTATAGGCTGTAGGTGGGCTGGACTGAACTCAACTGCTCTCCCCACTCCGCCTCCCCAACCCCACCACTGCCAGGCCCTCCCCATACCAGATACTTCATGGACCAAGAATGAGCTGGCTTATCAAACAACATGTGAGCATGGTCACAACCTCAAAGCTCAAGACAACAATGCTTCACTCTTAAGGGCCCGGAAAAGCCATTTACAGAAAACCAGCTGCTAACTCTATGATGGACCAGAGGAAACCTCTTGCCACATTCTCAGGAGGTTATAAGAAAAGAAGCAAAAGGAATAGGGTAGGTTTAGGCCTGTCACCCCAGGCAACAAGAATAACCTGGCGCTACCTTATCAGGCAAGTGTGTGTGTGTGGAGGGGGGCGGCATATAGCTCTAGTTCAAATTACTTGGCAATGTTTCCTGAGAAATTCAACCACCTAAGACACCCTGATACCAAAGGCCTCAGTCATTACTGGCTGCAATCAAAGGTTCAAGTAAGTCATGGCTCAAAATCCAGTGTGCATCCCTCCCCCTTTTGAGAGCCCTTTTCACAGCTCCAATTCCCGCTTAGCCATGCCAGTCTAGCCTGCTCTCAGTTGTAAGACAGGGCAAACCAAACCAAGCCAGTGTCTATCTTCCAGCATGCAACTAGGCCAGCTTCAGTTTCCCGATGGGGCTGCAGGAAGGAGGACCATTAAACCAAAGCAAGGAGCCCAGAAATCCTCTCGTGGTGGACAGCGGGTTTTCACCACAGCCTACATTAACCCATTTCTGAGCCAAGTTTCAACTGAGCCTTAAAATAAGTCTTTTTTTAAAAAATTTAACTTAGTTGGGTTTTTTTTGCCTCCTCTTCACTGTACATAGCCTGAATCCAAAGAAAAAGCGCTGTCCCTGTACCCACACACACCCCTCAGCAAAAGCCTTTAGTTCCTACTTTACACACTGGCTTCTCAGAATCCAAAGATCTATATTCTAGTGTAGTGTAGTAGTGTAGTGTTGTGTGGTAGTGATTCCACATCCAATACGGGAGTCCCCATGCAATTACATTCACCACAAGCAAGCAGTGAAGAATGAGAGAGGGGAAAAAAAGTGGAGACCTCACTTCCAGGACCTGTGATCTGAACTTGAAATATTCATGCCTAAGCTACAGCACTGCATCAGAACAAACCCAGCATCAGGTCAATATCATTAGCTTCAGTTCTTATAACCATAATGTTCTAAAATTATAGCCATCCAGAATTATAGAATAATAAAGGATGTGCTTGGATCTTCTGAAATAACCTGGGATAGCACACGACCCAAACATGGGAGTATCTGGTTGTGCTACTGTATATAGCCGAGAATAAACTCCAGGGCAAGATAACTTCCCGCCACCACCACTGTGACCTTGGTGACCTGGATCCCTACCAACAGTATTTTAACACTGGGACTCCCCAGGTCTGTGAAACCCCCCAGGCTGAAAGAAGACTGGGGCTGGGAAGGATTTGATGGGGTGGATTCTTTAGATAGACCTACTGCAATATTTTACAAGGCATCTAAAGTCTTCATTCCTCCTAACACCTTTTCACTTGAAACCTTCATTTTTATCTTTGGGGAAATTTTTTCCAAGTCGATTTCATCCTTGCAGCACTGAAGCTTACCACTTGGCATAATGCCTGGCACCATTAAGATGTGCTAAAACCCACTGGCACGGTGGCGATGATAAAAGTTAGGGGTCAGGAAAGGATGATTTTATGAGCACTTCAAATCTCTTACTGAATGACTGAAACCCTCCTAAGTATTCTTCCACCCCAGTCTCTCACCATTCCATCTATTCTGCACACCACAATCAAGTTAATCTTCATAAAATATGATATCGCCATGATCACAACCCCATTAGAAATCTCCAGTGGTTTTCTACTGCCTGCAGAATGAAGCTCAAACTATTTATCCTGGCACTTACGCCCACCATCATCAGTTCATAATTTATATGGCCCACAGTGTCCTATATATCTCCCAAGATCAACTCCGGCCAATGTTTGCATAATACATTGATTATCGTTGATGGTTACTAAAAAGTTAAGTCAATAAAAGTTGGGGCACATACACATACAGTAAGGTACACCAAAACCAATTAGATTTTATAGGAAAATGAAAAGCGTGATATACAGGGTGGTATTTTTCATTCTTGTCTGTTTCCCTCTAGGTATCCGGCTGTAAACTTCGATAACATTAGATTGTGATTCCTGTAGAAAATATCTTCTCTGGTGAAAATCAGCTGTTGCTAGCTTACCTGCTCCCTATGTGCCTTACAGAAAGCTGAACACTGCCTTCTGTTGAGGAAAGGTAATACAGCAAAGTGGCAGGCAGCATTAGCTCTGGAGTTAGACCGAAGCAAGTTCAGACCTTGGTTTTGCCACCTGTAAGCTGTGAGGCCCTGGGAAACTACGTAACCTTTCAAAACGAGTATAACCTATCTTATGGTGTCACTGGGAAATTTGAATGGGATGATGTATGTAACACCTTGTTTGTGATAAATTTGATATGCATGTGAGCGTGTGAAGGTTAATTCCTAGACTGTAGTACATTTTCAATAAATGTGAGCTATTGTGGTGGTAGTTCTTGTTGAAACTGAAGGTGAGGAAGTGGCAGATAATGTGAATTCATTCTCAAGCACTGCTGATAAGAAATTGCCTACATCACTTAGAATGACATTCTCCAGGAGCATCCATGTTGCTGCAAATGGCGTTATGTTGTCGGTTTTTATGGCTGGAGTATTCTAAGTGAAGTAAGCCAGAAAGAGAAAGAAAAATACCATATGAGATCGCTCATATGTGGAATCTAAAAACAAACAAACAAACAAACAAACAAACAAACAAAGCATAAATACAAAAAAAGAAATAGACTCATAGACATAGAATACAAACTTGTGGTTGCCAAGGGGGCAGAGGGTGGGAAGGGATAGACGGGATTTCAAAATTGTAGAACAGATAAACAAGATTATACTGTATAGCACAGAGAAATATACACAAGATCTTATGGTAGCTCACAGAGAAAAAAATGTGACAATGAATATATGTATGTTCATGTATAACTGAAAAATTGTGCTTTATACTGGAATTTGACACAACATTGTAAAATGATTATAAATCAATAAAAAATGTCAAAAAAAAAAAAAAAAGAAATTGCCTACAGTTTGCACTGTGAGACTAGGAGGCATCCTGTGTTTAAATCGTTCTTTTGGAGAACATTGCAGGATTTAAGGTAGGATCGCCTACTTACTGGGATTCATGTGCAGGGAAGGTTTCAGTCTACTTTTGATACCATGCTTACTAGGTGCTTAAATGTGATTTACCTACTTAAATATCCAGATTTGTGTCATCCCATATTCTCTCCTAATTCACTGCTGTCAATGTCATGCATCTTTCACTGTCTAATATTCACCAATAATTTTAGTTCTACCTTTTAAATTTTGTAATAATTTAAATTTTAAATTTAAATTATGTGTTACCCTTTCATATTTATATTTTGTATATGTAATTTCCACTTAAGAACACAATTTTCATACTTGTCATAATTATACCTTTTAAGGTGTGCCAGTACACCCCTGCCGCATAGTTTTGTCAAAGATTGTTCCACTGTACTGTTTGAAGATTAAATCACATTTTTTAGTGTTTGCTTTAGGGTCTACCATGCTCATCTTAACATATTGGAAGTGGCTTCAGATTTATACTCGCTTAATCACAGTGATACATAATAACATGATTCCTACGTAGGCCTATTCTCTTTCCTCCCTTTTTTGTGCCAGTATTATTATAGATATGAAATCTATTAATTCACAAATCCAACCATATATTATGGTTTTTACTTCACTATCTGCAACATTTTCATAGACAACACAACTTTGCTCCCATTCACTCCACTGGTGCTCTCTGACAAACATTTAGATGTGTTATAGGCTCAATAATTCATCATATACATATTTCATACACTTGGTTTGAAAATCAGTTAAGACAAAAAAAGGAGAAACTAAGTACTTAAATTGTATTTTATGTTTACATAATTACCTTTACCACTGTTTTTTTTGGGGGGGGGTTTGAGTGAACTACCATCTGGAACATTTGCTTTCAGTCCAAAGAAACTCCTTTACTATTTTTTAAGTCAGGACTACTAGGAACAAATTCTCTTAGTTGCTTATCTGGGAAAGATTTTATACTGCCTTCATTTTGGAAAGTAGCTTCACTGGACGTAGGATTCTTGTTTGATGGATTTGGGGTTTTTTTTTTTTTTTTTAACATTTTGAATATGTTGTCCCGCTCCCTTCTGGCCTCCACTGTTTCTGCTAAGAAGTCTGCTGTTAATGTTACTATGGTTTCTGTGTAAGAGTCATTTGCTCCTTGCTGCTTTCAAGATTTTCTCCTTGTCTTTGCCTTTCAGCATTTTTACCATGAATGTATAAGTTTGTGGATCTCTCTCTGTTTATCTTACTTGGAGTTTGCTGAGGTTCTAAATGTGTAAGTATTTTCCAATAAATTTGAAGAGTTTTTAATAAGTATTTCTTCAAATATTTTTCTGCCCCCCGCCTCTCTGTTTCTGACAATCCCACTGTACACGTGTTGGTGTGCTTCATGGTGTCCCACATTTCTCTTCATGTTTCATCATTCATTTTCTCTCTCTTTTTTTTTTCCTTGTATCAATCTATCTACAAGTTTACTAATTCTTCTGCCACTTCTAACCTACTGTTGAGGTCTTCTAGTGAATTTTTTATTTTAACTATTTTACTTTTCAACTCCACAATTTCCACGTGGTTATATTTCAAAATTCCCTTCCTCCTATTGATAGTCTTGATTTGATATGGCATTGTCATTATATCTTCTTTTACTTTTTAATTAATTAATTCATTTATTTATTACTATTTTTTAACAGAGGGACTGGGGAATCAAACCCAGGACCTCGTGTATGCTAAGCATACACTCTACCACTGAGCTATACCCTCCCCACTTCTTTTACTTCTTCTTTTTTTCTTTTTTTTAATGGAAGTACTGGGGATTGAACCCAGGACCTCATGCATGCTAGGCATGCACACTGCCACTGAGTTACACCCAGCCCCCTTCTTTCATTTCTTTAATAATCATGTTTTCCTTTAATTCTATGAACATATGTTAATGATTACTTTGAAGTTTTTTTCTGTTAAGCCTGTCATCTGGTCACTCTTCCAGGTGGTTTCTCTTGCTTTTTATCCTGATGTATGGGTCATATTTTCCTATTCATTTTTACAACATAAAAATTTGTTGGAAATGGGACATTTTAGACAAGACACTGTAGCAACTGTGGGTACTGGACCTCCCTTCTGGATCTTGTTATTATTATTTACTTACTTATTTGTTTAGTGTTGGCTGGATTATTTTATGGCAATCAGTTTTACCTCCACAGTGTTAAGCCTCTGGTGCTGCTCCTAGGGCAGCCTAATCTTGGGTGTGCCTACAGTCACTGTGAACTGACAGTAATAATGGTAGGGCTCCTCGTCTCTTTCCTCAAAATACTCAGCTGTTCAACTCCACTAATTGGCAGCTGGTTGCTCTATTACTTTCAACAATTCTATGGGGCAGAAATTGTCCTACAAACTAATCCAATCAAATGTTGACTCCTTTGAAGGAATAATGTTTTAGGTCAATGTTTAATATTTGTTCTGTCCCCAACAGAACTCCTTCCCACTCTTATTCCTCAGTTTTCTAATGCACATGAGCTGGCCTACAGTCTAAACTGTATCAGTCTTACATCCATGAATATCCTCTCAATTGCCTTTTTCAACAAACTCAGTTGTACTTGAGAGCATCTTTTGGCTTGATCTGCCATGTTATGTTGCAAGTACAGTTGGTTCCTGGGAGAAGAGATTAAGAGCTATTTTTGGGGGGTGGGGAGGGGCTGCTTCTATACCCAGGCAAAATCTTCTAAGCCATGGCTCTGGAGCTAGGGGTGAGGAGATTTGCAATCTTCTCTCTCAGTGTCCCCCAAAGCCCCAGAAGCTGAGCGCTTTGTTGAAGTGTGATGAGATTATTTCATATTTATTATTCTTATACATAATAACATATATATAATTATAAATATATGCGCACCCAAGATCAGAGCACCTAAGTATATAAAATAATATTGACAGATCTGAAGGTAAAAACAGACAGCAAGATAATAATAGGAGGAAACTTCAATACCCCACTTTCAACAATGGATAGATCACCCAGGCAGGAAGTCAGTAAGGAAACAGCAGGTTTGAAAAACACCACAGACCAGATGGGCCTAACAGACACACACAGAACATTTCCTCCAACAGCAGCAAACACACCCCCCTCTGCATCGCAGCAAGCATTCTCCAAGACAGAGTACACACGAGGTCACTGGGCCTTAACAAATGTAAAGAAACTGAAATCATTGCAAGTATCTTTTCCCAGTATAATGAAATGAAACTAGAAATCAGTAACAAAATGAACACTATCCACAAACCCATGGTAATTAACATTCTTGAATAACCATGGGGACAAAGAAGAAATCAAAAGGAAAGTGGAAATATCACAAGACAAGTAAAATGAAAACATAACATACCAAAACTTAGGAAATACAGCAAAAGCAGTTCTAAGAGAGAAGTTTGTAGTGATAACCACCCACATTAAGAAAGAAAGACCTAAAAAAAACTTTATTATGTACCTCAAGGAACTAGAAAAAGAACAAATGAAGTCCACAATGAGCAGAAGGAAGGAAATAATTAAGATATAGAAGAAAGAAGTGAAATAGAGAATAGAAAACAAATTGAAAAAATTGATGAAACTCAGAATTCATTTTTTAAAAAGATAAACATTAATTAACCAACACTCGGAAAGACTAAGGAAAGAGAGAAACGGTGTAAATAAATAAATCAGCAACAGCAGAGGAGACTATCGATGCCACAGACATAGAAAAACAAGTTCATAAAGAACTATTATAAAAAATTATACACAAACAATTGGACACCCTGGAAGAAATGGACAAATTCCTTGAAAGATACAACTTACCAAGACTGAATTAAGAAAAAACAGGAAGTATGAACACAGCAATGACAAACAAGGAGATTGAATCAATAATCAAAAAATTACCACTATCACCACCACCAACAAAAACCAGGGCCAGATGGCTTCATTAGTGAATTCTACCAAATATTTAAAGAATTAATATCAATCGTTTTTAAACTCTTCCCCTCTCCCCCCACCCCCACAAAAAAAAAAAAAAGAGAGGGAACACTTCCAAACTCATTTTACAAGGCCAGCATCATTCTGTGGCTGAGTAGCATCTTGTCCCTCTGGACAAGGCATAAACTCCCCAGTTCCCAGCCTTTATTGGTGCCCTTTTGGTATTGAGTCTCAGAAGTAGGCAACATTTACCGGATTCATGCAAATATAACAAACAGAAAAAACAAGCAAAACAATTATGTTTTTCAGGGAAAAGTGAGTGGCAAGACTTTCCGCACCCACTCACCACCTGCCAAGGGTAATATCCCCAAGGGCAGGAGGTCAGGGACTCAGGACAC